GCAGCACATCGTTGGAAGGTATCGAGTATTTACATTCTAATGATGTCAATTTTTTGCAAGTTTCTTTGGAGGGTCTCACAGGAAGTGCTACTACTTATATACCTTTCTCGGAAGAATAGTCGACCTCTTTGGAGGATGCTTGCCCTTGTTAATGAAGCCTCAGTTTTAGGAGGAAGACATATAGAGCTGTAAAGAAAGAAGGGGACTTCTGCCTAGCTGACTGAACTGGCTGAATCACCCCTGGTTTATCATGCCAGATCACCCTAACAACCTAATGTTCATGTTGAATATTATACTAAACAACATTAAGGGAGGATATTAGGGAAGATATGAATATAAGTAAATGAAAAGATTAAGGAAGCAATGTCAGAAGATTTTTTTAAAAGCCTTAAAATTTATAGCACAAATTTAACAGACACTAACATGGAAAAATAGCTTCAAAAAGTGGAAATGTAAACAGATTTGTGAGAGCCAGCTGGATATTCCTCATGTTTGTTCTCCCTTGTTTGAGAGTAATAACAGGTTTATTTAGCTGAGCCCGTGATTGACACAGTAAAACTCTATTTGTAGCTTCCCTTACAGTTTGGTTATGACCATGTGACAAATCTTTAGCCAATTTGATGGAAGTGAAAGTGTTTAATGCTAGTTTCTACAGTCTCTTTTTGAAAGACTATTGGTATTTTCTCTTCTCTCTGTTGTATTACTAGGAGCTATATATGCCATCATTATGGATCTTGAAGAAGTGTTGTACCATACAAGTGACAGAAAAAAAAGATAGAATGCATTAGTATCTCTAAGGCTCCTCTAGAATTTCTATACTAGCTGAAGACAGCATATCCACTGGACAAAATTGTAAGGGTTTGTCTAAGCCACTTTTATTTTGAGTGTTTCTATAATTCACAGCTAATTCACAGATGGAAGTAAATACCAAAGGAATCATCAATGGAACAAAAAGTGTTTGACTTCAGCTATTGTAAAGACAGGAGGGGAAGAGTAGGTAAGTTTTTAAAACAAATTCTACAGAACTTGCAATGTGTATAACTTTACCTTGAAACTATTTAGCTGTTTTATACAAATAACTTAAAGGAAGTTAAGACAATTGGGCTCACAATGTTCCCCACAAGAACCATAGCTTAACAAAACCCCCAGTACCAGGCACAAGAAATTTCCTTTCAAATAGTTGGTCATGTAGTCCCAAGTAACTGCCGAAACAATATAGATTACTGAAAGCAGCCCTTGGTTGCCTCTCAGGGTTTGAAGGGGATTCTGCTGCTGAAGACACCACAACTTAGGACACAAACTCAGCTGGTTCGAGCTGCATCTGACCCGAAAGCCTCTTTCCTATGCCCTAGTTTCTATGGTTCCAGAATAGGCTATGCGAACTTTCAAGGGAGGGAAGCAGCTAAATAGTCCTACCCAGCTACATCATCTAGGAATCATGACACTGACCATGATGGTAAGATATACATAAAAAGCACAATAAATGGCACACTCATGTCAATGGCAATCAACAGGTGTCTTAATTGGACTTAAGGCCCACTCAGTAGGAGGGAAATCATGCCTGGTATTGAGAGTACAGCCAGCTTCTCAGGGCCATGAACCTTAGAAAAGAATCTATTTCTGCCACTTTGCTAGACCAATATAATTCTTTACTACATTCTAAATAAAACTTATCCTACCACCCTTTATCAATGGAGTCCCTCCTTACAGCAAAAAAAGACTACCATGTTACAAGTGGACACAATGCAAAGATCAACAGACTGTAGGGAGCTCAGCCCTACCAGATACATCTGCACAACATCTCCCCTGTATCTATGTCTCAGGGCATATCATGGAAGAGAGGGCAGAAATAATGTAAGAGTCAGAATACCAGGAAGTGTGTGGTGAAACAATCCACCCATAAAATGGCGGCATCAACAAGACTGGGACAATGGCAATAACAATGGGTACATTATTATGAAAGGGAAAAATTTTGTGGGGTCTCATCCCTAGACAAAGAACTAACTACATATAGGCAACTTTCTGTGGAGAAGGAGAATTAGCCTCTCCTAGGGATGACCCCTATCCATGGGTTGTTTAATGCAAAATGATCAGCCCTGAAGTCATATATATAAACAACAAGGGACTCAGTAAGTTGTATTTATGAATTTGTGAAAGTTTGTGAAAAATTATTAACAAATAACTTCAAAATGCTGATTCCCTCCCTCCCTCTCCCTGATCTCTCTATATATACATAACACTGATAATCAAAGAAGAGGTTATCAACTTGAGAGTTGGGGAAGACATGAGAGGGTAACTTGGAAGGGGTTAAGGAAAGAAAAGGGAGGGCAAAGTGATAGAATTCTATTTCAATTAACAATATATTTAAACATATCTAGTGTTTTATTTATTATTAGTGTTTATGTATATGTGCACATATACTGTATATGTATAGAGTGTGTGTATTCATGTTCAGATACACACATGCCACAGTGTGCTTGTGATAATCAGAGGACAATTTTCAGGTGCTAGCTAGTTCTCTTCTGGCACGGTAACTGAGGCTTAAGTGTAGGCCATGGCTTAGAGAGCAAGCATCTTTGATTTTTAAAAATAAAACTGAAAAAAAAAACAAGCCCCACATTTCCCTATTTGTGGTCTTTACTTAGGTTCTCCATTCTACAATTCCACATTCATATGGTCTCTGGTAATTTTTTTTTTTTTGGATCATCCTCTTGCTGTACTCAAAACTCTTTGAAAACAGGATGTTTCTGATGCATTTCTTTTTCATTGTTAGTATACACTCTCACACAGCAGCATACTCAGCAACACAGGATTGAAATTGATTTACACCCAGATCAAAATAAGAAAAAGCAAAGCTCTGAATAGGACAGTACATGTTTTTAGAGTTGTATTTATTTGGAGAGAACTTTGCCCCTCATCTTCTCTTTATATTTTCGAAAAAAAAATGTTATTTCATCTGGAAGAATTTTATGTTTTGTCACTTGTTCTTTAAAAATACTTCCCTCGGGATCTTCTGAGATGACCCTTAAGTATGGGCTGAAACCATGTAATACCCTTGCACAAAGCCAAATCTTATCTTTTCTTCCTACCTCTAAGCTGAATGAGAGTAGGAAACTCAATTGGGGAAGTCTTTGTAACACAGAAACCAGTAAATGGGAAAAAATACAAAAAAAAAAAAACCCACAACCAAAAGAAGGCACCAGTTCCTTAAAGAAAGATTATTAAATATTTACAATACCATAATAATCTCAACCTCATATAAATGCCCTTCAAATGGCATACAAACTACTATCCCCACAATTGATTAGTACAATTATTTTCATCAATTATTTATTGTAATACACGAGATTCATTTCAGATCATTTCATGCAATTTTTCTTTTTTCTTTACTCTTCTCTCATATATTATATCCTGACTGCAGTTTTTCCTTCCTCTTCTAACCCCACCTCCCATCTTTCCCATATCCACTACCCTTCAGAAAAGAGCAGGTCTCCCAGAGATAAACCAAATATGGCATATCAAGTTTCAGTAAGACTAGGCACAAACCCTCATACTAAGGCTGGATGAGGAAACTCAGTAGGAGAAAAAGGATCCTAAAAGTAGGAAAAGAGTCAGAGACAACCCCTGCTTGGCCTCTTAGGAGTCCCATGAAAACAGCAAGCTACATAACTGTGACATATATGTAGAGGACCTAGGTCAGAATCATGAAGGCTTCCTGATTGCCAGTTCAGTCTCTGTGAGTCCCTATGAGCTCTGGTTAGTTGATTCTGTGGTCCATGTTGACCTGGTGTCCTTAACTCCTGACTTCTACAATCCTTCCTCCCTAGTCTTCTGCAGGGTTCCATAAGCTATACCTAATGTTTGGATGTGGCAGTTTTCTTTTACATAGTATAGTAGTAACACTTTTAAAACAGTTTCAATAAGGAATATTCGGTATATCATACAATTGACTCATTTAGCATAAAAACTTAAGATTTTTCAAGATATTAATAGATATGTTCATCAATAACAACAAATTTTGTAAATAATACATAATGACAAAAAAGAAACTCTATACCCATTACCACTTATTACCTTTATCTCCCTACCCCTAGTTCTTGGTGACCCCAATTTACTTACTGATTCCACATGTATCTGTTCTGCACATTTCATATAAAATTAATCATATACTATGTGAGCTTTTGTCACTAGATTATGCTCCTTAACAGAATACTTTTAAGGCTTTTCCTTCTTGAAGCATGCATCAACATCAGCTTTCTTTATATGGACCTACTCTATTCTATTATATGCCTATACCATATTTTATGTATTCATTTGAAGGACATTTACGTTATTTGCACTTCAGGGCTACAAGGATAAGACATATCTGTGTTTGAGTTCTCTTGGAGGACCTATGTTTTCTATTATGTAAGTATAAAGCCGGGAGTAGAATTACTAACACAAGATAAATCTATGTTAAACTTTTGGAGCACAGTTTTCTGAAGTGGAAACGTAAACCTCTAACATTCCTATTAGCGGTGAGCATTAGGGTATCAGTTTCTCCATGTCCTGACCTACCTGTGAGCATCTGTATTTTTAATTATATCCATCATGGTGGATGTTACTATGTCACTGAGTTTTGATTTTAATTTCTATAATTATGTATAGGTGTATATATACATATATATTAAGGTTAAATATGTTTTCATTGGTTTCATGAGAATTTTATACTTTGGGGAAATGTTTATATATAATATACATAAAATATTTATACATATAACATATATATATATAGCTATTTAAAAATGCTTTATTTGTCTTTTATTACTCAGTTGTGTTATTTATATACTCTGGACATAATTTCCTTATCAGATACATATTTTGAAAAAGCATGCCTTCCTTTATGCAGGTCTTTTTATTTCATTAATGATATTGTTGGCAATACCCCGTGCTGCTAGTTTTCAAGCTTTCATTTATGCTCCTCATCAACTAAGGTATGAAAATTACTGAACATGTCTTACCCGAACTATTTCGCAGTCAACATTTAATTCAGTCGCAACAGCTTCAATCTTCTCTCGACATACAGAGCCCAGGCTGGTCATACCATTGTCCCAGTACCTCTTAAGGGTAGCCAAGTCTCTGTCACTGAACTGAGTACGGTCCTGGAGCTAGAAAACACATTTAAAATTGATTATGATCAAAGGAAGCAATAATATTGAGAGGGTTCACAGGGTGGGAAGTAAAAGTACCAAGTTAAGTTCATTTGCAAAATTAGCAGGTTTAAGGTGAACAGAGGAGTAAGGAGTTCAAACTGGCCTCCCCCAAAAAGGCCTTCTCTATTTATCAAAGCAATAAACTTGTAACAAAGAACTTTTATCAGTTCTGGAACAAAGGAGAATCCTATAATCCATAAAATGTTATCTTCTCTTTCAAACTGGTGGATCTTTAAGATCTCATATTCCTCTATCTAGATGTAAATTAAAAAAAAAAAAACTGCCGGGCAATGGTGGCGCACGCCTTTAATCCCAGCACTCGGGAGGCAGAGGCAGGCGGATCTCTGTGAGTTCGAGACCAGCCTGGTCTACAGAGCTAGTTCCAGGACAGGCTCCAAAGCCACAGAGAAACCCTGACTCGAAAAACAAAACAAAACAAACAAACAAAAAAAAAAACAAAAAAAAAAAGAAAAGAAAAGAAAAAACTTCCTCAGAGAAAACCTCAGAGCCAGGTCTCCTTGTGGCAGAAAAGGACTTATTCACCTATCCCACAGTTACCATTATGTATGTTCTAGCCTTTGCTTTCTGGATTTGTATGAATTCTGAGATGACTACCAGCATGAGGAGAGGAAGTTAGACTACCCTCACTTTGGCCAAACTGTAAATGAATTCAGTTGCTTTTGTTAATTTCTATTTATTAAATTGTTTAAAATACAGAGAAACTGAGATTATGAGTTTATGAACCCAAGTTTCCACCAAAATAACAGATAGATTTTATGAGTTTTACCATTTCCTTATTATGAAAATAGACACTTTCATTGTTTTAAATTTCCATAATACAGTATACTAGTATGAAAGAAATAGAATTGTTTTTAACAGACAGCAATGTAATGTTCTTCACTATGCAAACATGTTCATTACAGCAAACAGATAAACAAGAAGATAATTTAAATTAACAACCTAGAATAATACTTAACACTTTAATTCATATTCTTTCAAACTTTTTCCTTTACTGCACACATTCCCATTCATATATTACAAAAGAAAACAATGATGGGGGCTGGGGATAACACAGCTCACTCAATAAAGCACTCAGTTTGCATGCAGAGGGACCTGCTTTGGGTCCTAGGTACTCATGCAAAAGCCCAATATAATTGTGTGCTTTTGTAATCCTACTGTTTGGGAGACAGAAACAGAAAAAAACAAAAAACAAAAAACTTTGGGTCTCATCGGTCAGCCAACCCTAGTCTAACTTATGACCTCCAAGACAATGAGAAACTCTGTTTCAAAGGAAGTCTATGGAATCCCTGGTGATGACACACTGGCCTCTACACACATGTCTAAATTTGTGTACATATGTATACCTCGAACATATATGAAAACACACACACACACACACACACCAAAAATAGCATCCATCAGAGTGCTGCTTTATAATGATAATCCAGAGTTGTTGTGCAGATAGAAAGAGAAAGATTAAAGTCATCCAAAGTACTTGATTCCTAAGAAGTGATTTCACACATTTCTGACAACTTAAATTAACCTATACATATTTCATAGCTTGTTTCATTTTTTTCTATTAAATTCTAGAAATGCTACACAAAAGGTAGAGAGAAACTATGAATCTTTTTTTCCCTCCCAGTTGGGCCAAACTGCAAACAATTCCATTTGTTTTATCAATTTGTTTCTTAATTCATTACAATGCAGCAGGTTTATAAACTTAAGGACCCCTAGTAATATACTGAATTTAAAAGGCAAATAAGCAAAATGTAAGAGGACATTTTAATTGTGAAAAATGAATAATATTTATAGCTTCAACATCTTTTGCTTTTAGGCTTTTAAAAAACACAATATACCACATTCTTTATATATTGTTTAATTCAATGAGTCTTAGACACACCCTAGGAAGTAAACTAGGAACTTGATAGAATAATGACTTTCATTTTGCTGATGAGGCAAAATGAAAGGTCAAAGGACTCATTCAGTAGGGCACAAAGGGCTCATTGCAGAGGTTGAAATAAAAATATATCTAACTTTTATCTATAAGCTTTATCCCTATGATGTATACAATTATATTACAGGGTACTATAAATATCTAAAAATTGGGGATATATATATATATATATATATATATACATACACATACACACACACACACACACACACACACACACACACACACACATATATCCTGAAATTTTCTATGTGTTTGTGTGATGTGGTAAAGGAGAAGGAAAGAGGAAGTGAGAAGTAGAGGGTAGGGAGAAAGAAGGTGGGGTACAGTGGAGGGAAGGAACAGTGAGTTGGGTGGAGTGACAATGGAAGAGAAAGAGGGAGGGAGCTATGGAGGAAGGCAGAGACAGACAGACATATAGATAGATAATAGTGATTTAGAAAATGTTTCAAATCATAGGGTTTGGGTTATGAGATTGTACCATAGTATTTTCGTCTGAGCATAATAAGACTTTCTCATTACCACCACAGATCAAAGATAACACTGATTCTTTCATCAGGTAAGGAAATAAAACACAATACTAGAGTCTCTACTAATGGTAGTAGAGCCACCAATCCTCTCTGGTAGTGCAGACTGAAGGGTATAGGACCTCAACAGGGACTAGAATCAGTGTGCCTCCTCACTGCAAGAACCTTCAGTGCTAGCATATACTGCAGATTAATCAAGTGCAGGGCTCTGTGAGGCAGCTCAGCGATTTTCTTCCCACATATTCTAGGATGGGCATTTGTATGGTGCAGGTGGCTTTGAGCCCAACAGTACGTAAGCCCAACAAACTCACTGATTCCCCAGGCTGGATTTGGATGGAATCTTTCCTCTGGAGCAAATAGCCATTTGTTCATTTTCCACAGAAAAAGCAATGCAATGGGGGCTCTGGTGCTGCCTTTTGCCTGAGATAAAGTTCACTTAGCTCCACGCTAAAACTACCCTTCGCATAAGTCTTACTCATATACCCTTTAGCATTTTATTTCTAACTCAAATTTAACATGGAGGACCTCCTAAATCAGATTCAGATAAAAGTGGGAAATAAAATATGTACTGTGGAGATGGTACTATGGGCAAAAGCACTAGCTGTGTAAGGATAAGAACCTGAGTTCAAATCTCCATGTCCCATGTAAAAAGCAGTGTAGACCAGTTAACCCCAGCACTGGGAAATGAAGCTAACTGAACCCTTTATGTTTACCAGCTTAGCCAATCTAGGCAAAATGGCAAGCTTCAGGCTTAATGAGATTTTCTTCTTTCTGTTTCCGTGTCTTTCCCCCGTGTGTGTGTGTGTGTGTGTGTGTGTGTGTGTGTGTGTCTAGATGTGTATTATTAAATTCAATTACAAGGGGCTAGAAAGATGGCTCACCAGTTAAGAGCCTATACTGTCCTTTCTTGTCCCAAATTTGGTTCCCAGAACTGATACTGGATGCTTCACAACTACCTATAACTCCAGTTCCAAGGGATCTAACCCCTACTCTGGTATTCACAGGCAATTGCAAACATGTGTTGCACAAGCACACACTCAGGCAAACACACATACACATAACTTAAAAATAAACGTTAAAAATGATTAGTTAAATCGGTTCCTTCTTTCTTAAAAAGTTAAATAACATTTATTGTAAGTACTATTACTAAATCATACATTTTCTATGAATGAATCCAAACATGTCATCTAAGTTTTTTTTTCCTTGATCAAAGGGTATAACCTTAATTTATTTCTCACCTAGACTTACATTAGATGTTTATTCTACAATGAATGCACAATAGTTGGGTGGTTAAAATTCTCAAAACGGAGAATAAAACCAACTGTTGAAGATTCTAGGGAGATTCAAATAATTCATCACAACTGCCGTTATGAATATTTCCATGAATTTCCATTGCGCCAAATTCTCCAGTGCGAGTTAACCTACATTACTGTCAGAATGGAAGGCATAATGAACAGAACACTGAACACACTCAGCCAATTAATTTGTAATTCATTTAGAAGACATCCAAAGCTGATTCATTCTTTAAATTGAACTAAATAAAACCTGATTTGATTTGCTAGAAATGTGCTGGGGTCTCAGCATTAGTAATGCTAAAGGTGACCTATTATGACAATGCCTATTAAGTAGAAGCTTATGAAAGAGGCACGGTTATTTTTAAAGCTCCTAAGAGCATATTTTAACTAAGAAAATAAATAAGGTAATAAAAATATATTAGCACTAAAACTGTGAAGACCATTTAGAGAAGGAACAGAGTGTGTGGACATTTAAAGGATAAGGTGAATTCTCCCCCAAGGAAGCCTGAAATTGAAGTCAATTTTGTCTTTCTATTGGACTCTCAGGCCAACTTCAATTTATGAGACATACTGAAACCTAAAGTGCTGGCTTAAGTAAAACACATGGGCAATTATTTGTGTAAAGGGTAGCATTCCAAAAGCTCGGGGCTTTGTACACATGAGAAAAGTACTGTCAGGAAGCTACCCTGAAACATGAAATACAACCAAATAAAAACAGGAAAGTATAAAATCAATTACTATTTCTCCTTTCTTCACCTACAAACCTAAAATTATAACACCAAATATAACAAGTAATAGTAGATTACTCCATAACAGTCTAGAACTAATGCAAATACAGAGCCATGTGCAGTGGCTCATGCCATAATGCCATTATTTCAGAGGCTGAGGCAGGAGAACTGCCTGAATTCCAGCCTTAACTGCACAGCAAGCATTAGGATAGGCATAAGCTATGTGTGACATTCCCCCTCTTCTTACCACACACACGTGTGTGTAATTATATGTGTATGTATTTATATGTATGTACATACTATATATTTTTACCTAAAAACCTATAGATGTAATATCAAAAAGCAGTGGTAGTTTCCTTTATATATATACACATATATACATATATATAAGATATATACAATATATACAATATATATACAAATATATATATATATATAATAGCTCATATTA